CCTCCCTCCCTCCCTCCCTCCCTCCTTTCTTTCTCTTTCTTTCTTTCTTTCTTTCTTTCTTTCTTTCTTTCTTTCTTTCTTTCTTTCTTGAGATAGGATCTCACTATATATAATCCAGGCCAGCCTTAAACAAACTGTGTGCCCAGGCTGGCCTAAAACTCATGATCCTCCCTGAGATTTCTAAGTGCTGGGATTTTAGGTGTCTACCACCATGTGCAGCTGTGTATTTTAAATAATTATATACATAAAATTAAGTTTTATGGTATGAAAATTTCTTCTTGTGCTGTTATGTCATCCCTAAAAAAAAAAAAAATTATTTTAAAGCATTCAATATTTTTAGTTTGGGGATGTTCAACCTGGCTATGTTGATCAGTTACAATTAGTAGTGTGGCCAAAATTATGTTTTTGGGAAAGAATTATTTTTTAGTATTTCTTCTCTATAAGAAAATGTTTTCCCTAAATGATCATTTTAAAAGTATTGAGATATTGTCACAAAAATTAAAAGTATAGGGCTAGCAAGATAGCTCAGCTGACTGAGCACCTGCTTAAGCAAGCACAAAGACCTGGGTTCAATCCCCATTACCACATGCCGCTCTGGCCTCACCCCCAGGTGTGCTGGGCTGGTCACCAGACTGGGAGACCAGGCATGATGGCACATGACTGTAATCCTAGTGTTGGGGAGGCTGAAAACAGGAGGATCACTACGAGTCCAAGCTGCATAGTGAGACCCTGTACCAACTACATTAAAAAAAAATTAAAAATATAAGCTTGCCTTTAAACTAGGTGATTTAGGGGTGGGAAGATAGCTCTGCTGCATAATTGCCTGTCTGGCAAGTACAAGGTCCTGAGTTCAGTCCCCAGTACCAAAATAAATATACAAAAAACTAAGTGATTTTTTTTTTAACTGAATCAGAAGTATTGGTGAATGTGTTTATTTTGTTATATGGTGAATTTAGAAGCAGTTTTGGCCATAGTGTCTATCCTCTTTACAGTATAATTAACAGTGGTGAATTTTAATAATGTAAAATTGATTCTTTAGAAAATGACCATATTGATTCCTTCTTTCTTTTTGTCCACCTAGTGAGAACTCAACAGAGACACTATCAGTAGATTCTAACAATCAATCGAAGTCCCCCCTGGAGAAGTTTATGGTCAGACTCTGCACTCATCATCAAAAGCAATTCATTCGTGTTCTGAGTGACCTGTACACTGAATCTCAGCCAGACACCGAGGACCTGCAGCCTTTAGATTCTGGAGCAATGGATGCGTCATCCTGCAGTGCTGGCTGTGCCCAGCTAAGCAACAGACATAAAAAAAATGATGCTATGTGCCTCGATAGGAAATCTCCTGCTTCTGTAGACTTGTTTGTAGACTCACTGGGCTCTCCCAGCTCTCTGCATGTGACAGAACGGACCCTGAAGGAGCCTCCTCCCGAGACAAACTGTGTAGATGAAAGCGAGAATGCCTTGACTGTTGTCCAGAAAGATTCCTCTGAACTTCCAGCCACTCAACCTAATTCTGGCAGTTCAACAGATATTTCTACTATAGGATACCTCACTGCATCTGATTCTTTTTCACTGAACTCCCATGACATCTCTAAAACCATAGAGGGGCAGACCACTGGACAAGAGCAAGACCCAAGTGTGAAGGCATGTGAGGATGGTGAAGACCATATGCAGAGTTCAGCTGTAGTAGAAAGTCTGACTGCAGAAAAAGTGGCAGCTGAGAATAATGAAGAGAGCAATAGCTGTATTGTTTCTCAAAGAAATTCACTCAAAGCTTTATCAGAAGAGACATGGGACTCAGGGTTTATGGGAAACTCACCTAAAACTGCTGACATAGAGAATGGTTTACAGTGTAGCTCAAAAACATCATTGCACCAGGATTTAGAAACAAATGATCAAGAAGCAAGGCCAAAGCAAGAGCACCATCTTCACTTAGTAGGAAGAAACAAGGTGGTTTACCATTCACATCCCAGTGACAAGGGCCAGTTTGATCATTCCAAAGATAGTTGGTTAGCCCCCAGTCCTGTGCCAGCTGCACATGAAGCATCTAATGGACACTCACGAACCAAGATGATACCAACTTCCATCAAGACAGCTCGGAAAAGTAAGAAGGCATCAGGGTTAAGGATAAATGATTATGATAATCAGTGTGATGTTGTTTATATCAGTCAACCAATAACAGAATGCCACTTTGAGAATCAAAGGTCAATGTTTTCTTCTCGGAAAACAGCCAGAAAGAGTACTCGAGGATACTTTTTCAATGGTGATTGTTGTGAGCTGCCAACTGTTCGCACACTGGCCAGAAATATACACTCCCAGGATAAAGCAAGCTGCTCATTACTAGAGTCAGAGGCTAGTAATGTGACTCCCAAGCAGACTCTTACAGTTTCAGCCCCTAGGCATACAGTGGATGTGCAGCTTCCTGGAGAAGATAACCATGAAGAAACTTCTAAGGAAATAACTTCCTCCGAGGAGGGAGGCAAAGACACTTCTTCTGCAAAAGAGTCTCAAGAGCCTGAGATTTACCCCACAATTAATGAAATAAATCCTAGCACCTCTCCTAGGTTGGGGGAAGCAACAGCCCCTAGCCTGGTGAGTCCTCTGCCTGCTTGCTCCCCTGAAGAGGATGTGCTGGAAGGCAGAACCATGGTCTCCACTCCTATAGAAAGTGTGGTGTCTCCCCCTGAACAAGACCAACAGCCAGTTGCCTTGCTAGATGTGGAGGAAATGCATGTCCTCCAGGACTGCCACTTGGATCCCCCAACTGAAAGCATTTGTGGGGAAGACCGTGAAGTCCCTTTTAGGACTCAGTCTCCCCCAGAAACAGCCATTAGAGAAGAAAACCCTCTCTGCTCAGAAGATCAAAGTCCTCCTGTGGGCTCGGAGCCTCTCCTGAATCTGGGACTGGCTGAGCACAAAGAAAGCTTCAGTACTGAGGCTGGGACTTTAGATATTCAAGAACCACAGACTGAGCCATTCCTGAAAGCAAGCAGCACTTTTCATAATGAAAACTCTAGTGAGATTGAAGAAGGTGAGGCAGCCTGTGATACAGAATACCTAGAGGGAGAGGAAAATTCTGTAAAATCCTCTTCAGAAAACAATACATGTGATCCAAACATTGACTCACCTGAAGAAAATTTCGACAAGAAGAAAAAAAGTAAAAAGTTCCCTGAGGCCTCTGATAGATGCTTAAGAAGTCAGCTTACAGATTCTTCCTCTGCTGATAGGTACCTAAGACATCAGAGTTCAGATTCTTCCTCTGCTTGTCCTGAGATCAAAGTTTCTAAAAACACTGGAGTAAAGTGTTCTAAAAAAGAAGACTACCTTGCTGGGACAACACCTGAGGGCTTTGTGAATGACAGTTTCCATGCAGAAGTTCTAGAAGAAACTGAAAGCCCAAATGCCAGTAAATGCCCATCTGAGAAAGAGGTTGAACAGGAAAGTGGGGGAGGTGGCATCATTACAAGGCAGAGTTTTAAAAACATGCTGACAAAAGAAGTCAAAAGAGAACAAAGAGAGATCTCTCCTAGCAGGGATCCTCTAACCACAGTTGGCCAGCCACTGCCTGGAGAGAGACTAGAAATCTATGTCCAGTCTAAGATGAGTGAGAAAGATGCTCTTGTGCCCTCAGAAAGTATTCTTTGTAAGAAGGACCCAGAGCAGTCAAATGAGACGCCAGGACACATTTCCAAACAGGATGTGGAGGCAGTTGTGAATGAAGTAGACCACGAAGACACCCGGCATAAAGATGATGCTAACCGGGTCCCACTGAGCTCAGTTCAGATGTCCGATAGTCAAAGTGGTGATGCTGCTGGGCCACCAAAATTGGTAGCAAGGCCTAAACGATTGACCTCTTCAACCTACAACTTGAGACATACTTACTCTCGAGACTCCTTGGATACTACAAAAGTGACTTCAGAAAAGGAAGCCACACCAGTACACCCAATACCAAAGGAACATGAAGCTTCTGAGCATGCAGATCCCTTAGATGAGGAAGATGTGGACACAGTCGTGGATGAACAACCAAAGTTTGTGGAGTGGTGTGCAGAGGAGGAAAACCAGGAGCTGATTGCCAACTTTAATGCCCAGTACATGAAAGTTCAAAAGGGATGGATCCAGTTGGAGAAAGAAGCACAACCAACACCAAGAGCAAGGAACCGGTCAGATAAATTGAAGGAAATTTGGAAAAGCAAAAAAAGGTCACGGAAATGCAAGGGCTCATTAGAAGCTCAAAAGTTTTCTCCTGTTCAGATGTTATTCATGACAGACTTTAAATTGTCTAATGTTTGTAAGTGGTTCTTAGAGACAACTGAAACCCGGTCTCTGGTCATTGTGAAGAAGCTCAATACTCGTCTTCCAGGAGACATTCCCCCTGTCAAGCATCCTCTTCAGAAGTACCCTCCCTCCAGCCTGTATCCCAGTTCACTGCAGGCTGAACGCTTGAAAAAACACTTAAAGAAATTTCCTGGAGCTACTCCTGCTAGGAATAATTGGAAAATGCAGAAACTCTGTGCTAAATTTCGAGAGAATCCCGACCAACTAGAGCCAGAGGACAGCAGTGATGTTAGCCTGGGCCGTAATTCTGAAGGCAGCATAGAGGAAGTCAAAGAAGATAGAAATAGCCACCCTCCCACAAACCTACCTACTCCAGCCAGTACGAGGATCCTCAGGAAGTACTCCAATATGCGAGGAAAGCTCAGAGCCCAACAACAACTGATCAAGAATGAGAAAATGGACGGCTCCATGAGTGTGGCAGTAGAAAGTAAGCAGCATCGTAAAAGTGTGTGCATCAACCCTCTGATGTCCCCCAAGCTTGCCCTCCAGGTGGGTGCGGATGGGTTTCCTGTTAAGCCCAAGAGCACTGATGGGATGAAGGGAAGGAAAGGAAAGCAGATGTCGGAAATCTTGCTTAAAGCTGAAGTTCAGAGTAAACGCAAGAAAACAGAAGGCAACAGCACTCAGGACAGTAAAGATAGGTCACTGACTGTGAAAGCTGGCAAAGAAAAGCACGTCGAAGGACCTACCAAAACCTCTTGTGCCAAGAAGCCATCTGTCAGGGACAGAGTCAGACAACTGCCGAAAAAAATATCTTTGAAAGAGAATAAAGCCAAGATCCCTAAAAAGTCCTCGGGCAAGAGCTCTGTGCCCTCCAGGAAAGAAAAAGAAAGTACAAACAGAAGACCTGCCCAATCTGCCACCTCAGAAGCACTGATGAAACCTATGAAGCAAAAGGGATCAGGGGAATCCTCTTCCAGGCACCAGAAAACTACAAACAGGAAGCCAAGTAGTGGGAAGACTCGGACCAGACCCTTAACAAAAGGCTCAGAGAACAGTGCGGCCCAGAGAAAGCGAAAGCTCAAGGCAAAGCTGGACTCTTCCCACAGCAAGCGAAGACGTTTGGATGCAAAGTGATGGAAGGATGTCAGCCAAGAGTGAAACTGATCTATAGAAGTAACCTTTTATTTTGCATTATCTAAATCGCTTTTATAAGCTTACCAAGCCTTTCAAATTGCAATTAATAGAAAACATCACAATTTGAGATGTCAGAAAATGCATCTCAGGTAGAGAAAGGAACTTGTAGAGTCCTTCTCTGAGGTTGAGTAAGGGAAGTTATATATTATATTCTGGTTGTTCCTTGGGTTTTAAACTTGGAACCGAGCAGTTTTTGTTTTAAAAAGTACAGTGCCTTATTTATCCTTTTTGTTTTGAAATTTACAAAAGCTAAAAAGCGATCTATGTGATTAAAGGCTTGTATTTTATACTTGATGCACAAGCACTTGTACTGTAGCCAAGAAGACCACCGTCATGCACGTGAAAGGAGCTTTCAGCAGCCACCCTGCAGCATCTGCTGCTGAGCAGACGCCCTCTGCAAACCACAGCAGCAACTTTTCTCTCTGTCATGTTTGTTATTGTTTAAGTGATATTTGAAAGCTAAACCAAATCATTCTGTGGTATGTGGAGAATACAGAGGATATATAATTATAAAATATTAATATTTCTGTTACCTTCTTAAAATCATATTCATTGTTGGTCACTCTTCTCACCTTTGTTTTTGTTTCATTTTGTTTTTTGGTCTTTTTTGTTGTTTGAGAACATGTTCTCTAAATCTCATGCCCATGGGACAAAAGCTGTGTCACAAATACTCATTTTGGTTTACAACCTCTAAAACTTACTTATATCCCCAAATTCTGTTCTGGCTGTATTAATAATTCTTGACTGTCCTCTTTATTTTTGGCCTTGCCAGTTTGTTAACATTCTAGCAAGTATTCATCCTACTTTAGAAATAATTTGATGTTTAATTTGATGATTAAGATGAAAGTGATTATTATTTTTTTCTTATCCAGAGTACTTTCTTATTCAGAGGAAGCCAAAATATTATTTCCATTAATAAGAAATTTTAAAAATATAGGTGCACATGTGCATTTGGATGCATTTGCATGTGGTTATCAGCTGTAAATGTCTCTTCCCCATGCAGTGTGTTCATGAAGCTGAGTATTAGCAGCAGATTCTAAGAGGTATGAACAGCACAGTTATGTAGAATCAAGAGTCCCTGGCAGCGAGAGAGAGCTGCCCCAGCAGTTCAGTTGGTTCTATTCCCCTACACACAGAGCTGAGGTTCAGCTTTGTGCTGACTGAGCCAAGTGAATGTATTTGTCTGGAGTAAATGTCTGTGCGAGTTGATTAGTGCCATCATAAGTAGTTGATGCTGGTAATACCACTTCTCCCAGATCTCCTCCCCATGGTCTGATTCATGGCTTAGAAGTAAGAATTGCAGTATTTGTAACTGATGTTGTCTGCCTTTTCTAGGTAAAGCCTGAATGAAATAGGCCCGCTGGTTTTATTCAGTGCCTATAACATTGCTCTGTTTATAGCACAGTGTGTACTTGACATTTCCTTTGGGCCGCTCTGAAAGAAAGGCTTGGTTGGTAAAGTCTCAGCTTCTTAACTTGTTCTGTCACCAAAATAGGCTGGTATGTACAGCTGTTGCCTTGTCCTTTTTTAAAAAAAAAACAACAAAAAACCATTTAGGCTGTTTCAGATCTCTTTAGGTAAACCCAGATTTATTTTTTTCATGCAGGTCATGATAAAACAGGTTCCTTACCCATTCTACTAAAGGTTTGCTGTATGTGATAAAAACTTCCAATTGAATAGGACTAAAGAAAAGCATTAGAGTCATGAGAAATTGAGTTATGTTTCACAGACAGTGAAGTTTACTATCTTTAATGAAGCCCTCTTTTTTGTTGTTTTGTGTGTATTTGTGTGTTTCTTCTATGCCATGAGTCTTTTGTTTTTTATTTTCTTTGACTTGGGCCTTTCAAGAGCTACCTATCTGAATGGAACTGCTGGGTGTGTGTGTGTGTTGCCAGCCCTTTTTTTGGCATTAAGTTGCACAGAAGCATTAATATGTTTTGAATAAGTTCATTTATCTTAAATTTTAAGACTTTAGCATTTTTCTTCTCCTATAGTTGTCACTGGATACTGTTTTTGTGGTGACTTATAAAAAGCTGATGCTTGCCAGTGTCAGGTGTGCTGATTCCTGTACATAAGTGCTCCCTTGGCTGCTGATGGGCTACCTTGTGAGGTGCTTGGGTTAGGTTAGGGAGAGGGTGAGACAGAGAGGACGTCGGTGGAGCTGTCCTAGTTCCAAGTTGATAATTTATTCCTTTTCTAAATTCTTTTTCATTTTTAAAAGCTCACTTCAAGATAACAGCCATCTCTCTCATTCTAGGCTGCATTTAAGGAAGTCAGTGTGTATTTATTTGTATTATATGCCTAACAATGCCATGGATTATCTTTAAAATGGACATTTTTCAGCAGTTTCTACATTTAAATAGACTGAAATTCTAAAAAGTTAGAAGACTTAAAACTTTAGAAAAATTTTGGTTGAATCTCATCTTTGCTTATTCAGTTAATTTTGCTGATAGAAGAAAGAAAACAAAAATAAAATGTGAGGGCCAACTGTGGAAGGTCCTTTTGCACCTAAAGCAGATACTGGAAAAGTCTCCCAGACAGCGCCATGCCCAGAATTGATATGGACTCCACTTGATGTTTTCTCTCCTTTGAAAAGACCTTCTTCTTGTAGCTATTTTCAAGTATGGCATGCTGCCAAATGCAAAGGCAGTCTGCCCCACATTCTGACTCCCAAATCACAGGGATTCCACTCCAGGGCTTATACTCAGTGAAGCAACTGCTGCAGTGGTGGGGCTGAAGTTGGTGACCAGAGAACTGATGCTCCCTGCGTTTCTGGAGGAGCTGGAAGATGCCCAGGAAATCATCAGTGGAGTTGTATCATAACTTCTCCAAAACTGGGCCCTCTTTAGGACATAATTTCCTATCTCGTCAAGCTCTCTAGGGGTGGGATTGCTCCTTCTTTGAGGTCCAGAGCATTACTCCATCACTTCCTCGGACTGACCTCCTTGCAGTGCAACAAGAAGGCCACAAACCTTTTTTACTCATGTCTGTTAATCAGCACTTGCTAGTCCTTGGGATTCCTTAATGACTCCTACATAGCCCTGTCTAGAAGAGTAATCTTTGGATGTGAGTTTGTCCTTCATTGTTACTATACTGGTACAGACAGAAGGGGTGCTTTAGTCATCTCTTTACATGTGGTGCTTTCTTAAAAGACTCTTTGTGCACCATGTACTATGCAGGTGAATTTCTTACTGTTCAACTTTGTCATCAGTAAAATGCATCACTTCAAGACAGCTTCTTTGAATTGAGGTTCAGCTCCTTTCCTGCTTTGTGGTAGATTCTGTGATGACAGCAAAAGCTGTAACTCATTTATGGGCAACATTTCTTTTGATGAGTGAACTTCAGAGCCCAGAAGGAAAGTATGATGTGGTATGTGATGCAGGCAGAAGATTGCTGTAGTATTAACCATCAGCGAGTCCAGTGTCTTGTGACAGCCCCTGGGTTGGGGCTGGAATACCCCAAAGGGGCTAACTAGTAGACAGGGAGCCAGCCCCTTTTGTTTTCAGGTCAACTGGTATAGGATTCCTTTTGGCTTGCGGATGATCTGAAGGTCTGCACATTGAATTGGTTGTTAGTTTGTATAAATAAAATTTTGTTGGAACATAGCTTTGCCCACTTGCTTACTGATTGTGGGGCAGAGCAGTTGCCTCAGAGACCATATGGCCACAAAGGCTAAAATATTGTCTAGATCTTTAAAATTATTTTGCTTACCTCTGCTTCAGAATATAATGCTTGTTCAGGATAAAATCTCCCTGGATTTCTTCTTCTGCCCTTATCGTCTCTGCTCTCTTCTTTGCCTCCTTTCTTCCTTATCTTCCTTTTCTTGCTTGTCATGCACTTCTTTGTTTCTTCCTGCAAAGGAAACATGCTGATAGCTCACAGGACCTGCCGCCTCTCTGCACTCAGGCAGACGTACTGTAGGGCTTCGGCTGACCCTTGGCTCCTCCAGAAATCACATTTAGATGAGGGAAAAGGCTTTTTACAGTGTAAAAGTGTCTGACAACAAGCCCAAAGGATTGTTTTCTTCTTATGTTTTTGGTCAATTTTGGAGAAAATAAAAGTACTTTAGGATTTATAGCTTTCTAGCCACATTCTTGCAAAAATAATTTTATTAAAATAAAAAAAAGTAATCCAACAAAAAATTGAGGCAGTTGAAGTGCTTTAGAAAAGAATGATTAAAAGTGTTAACCCCCTGAGTATGACTGAGAAATTATGCATTATATCTTTAGTTTAAGTCCAGTCTACTTCCTCCAAGATGCTTTCATTCCCCAGGATTGTGGATACATTTCTTTGCTATTTTCCAAAATGTGATTGTCATGTCAGTGAAAACGTTTTTGGCAGTGACTTCCACAAAATGATTATCTTGTGTGAAACGTGAGTTTTTTTGGAGAGTTTAGTGTTGGGGATCAAGCCTAGGGCCTCGTGTATTCTGGACAGTCACTCCCACTGTGCTGCACCCCCAGTCCAATTATTTTTAATTTTTAGCTTTTAACTTTATGACATGGCGTAAAACCCACTGAAATGTTTTTAAGTATGAAATTGTATCTGTGTGCATCACCAGCAACACAGTCTTCATATCCAAGCAATATCTACTCTTCCCCATGCTTGCTCCTAAGTTCTTTCAGAGAAAAATAAAGGATTATTGTATTTAAAGCAAGGAGAGGCCAGACATGGTGGCACATGCGTATAATCCCACCATTTGGGAGGCTGAGGCAGGAGAATCACCAAGAGTATGAAGCCAGCCTGGCCTCCATAGACCCTGCCTCAAATCAAGCAAGCAAGCAAACGAACAGAATTGGGGGAGCCTTTTGAGACAGGCTTCGACAAATTTAACACTTGAAGCATCAGAACAGAGTCCTGTCTTCTGCACTGAGTGGATCAGGAGCCTTGAGGGCCTGCCCTCCTCCCTGTAGAAGTCATATTTACAGAGCTCCGTAGCACGTGGCAGTACGCTTGGTTCAGTGCTCTCCTCGCGTCCCTGTGGCCGCCGGGAGCCCCTGGAGCACTTGGTGGAGGACGTTCTTGCTCATGCTTTTGCCTGTGGAAGTGACTCACAGCTGTCCACTTCCATTTGAAACCGCCTCTCTGTTCCATCTCCCTTTTCCCAGAGCCTTGGTGGCACCTGTGCTCAGGATGCGTCCTGTGCCCCTCAGAAGGGCAGCAGTGCTGTCACATCAGCGAGGCGAGCACAGACACACTTTCTCACCCAGCAGGGCCATCCCAGTTCACATGAGTGTTCAGTGTGCAACAGAACAGCATGAGCTGTCCATGTGAACAGAGAAACCAGGTGCCCGTGCTATCATGTCAAGTGGATAAATGGATTTCACCTTTTTTTAAGGGTTGTGCTAACAAACTGTGTGACCTACACTAAAAAGTTTATTATCTAACCTTTGACAGCACAAGTTTACTGATCCTTACAATAGTCATGATTAAAACGTACGGACAGTTAGGCACCCAGTTTCATCGTTGTTCATCTAGCACAGCACTGCAGCAGTTCTTTTAGGTTTCAGGGGTCTTGTCGTTTCATCCCCGTACACAATTGCTATTGCACATTATTCCTGAATGATGTTTGTGCATAAGAAAAAAAGATATCTCCCTTTGCTGATTGAATATTTATTGATAATTTATGGGCTGATAGTCTACTAGGGTATATAATTAAAAGTACAAAGTCTTCTAACGGGTTCACTGTGGTTCATTTTTATGGTATATTCATTTTGTAAATCACAACAAACTTGGCCTGGTAGAGACATCGCAGTGCGACAGTGCTCCACACACTGTCTACCTGCAGCTTAGCGTAGTGTGCCTCTCCCCGGAAGGACATCTGTTGGTTGTACCCCGAGAGCCCTCCATGTCTTTTTGTATCTAGCATATTTGCAAGTCCTTTTTTCTCCAATCTTTGAACTTAAATGACTGGTCTTTGCTTGAACCTCAAATCCAAACCACACGTTTCTTTTTGTTTTTAAGACAAGGTCTCACTCTGTAGTTCAGGCTGGACTTAAACTTGCTCTGTAGCCCAAGCTGACCTGGAACTCACAGTGATCCTCCTGCCTCAGCCTCCCAAGTGCAGGGATTGCAAGTGTGCATTATCATGCCCAGCTCACACCATCTTTAGATACCAGCATGTTGATGGCCCCTTATTGACACACCAGCAGCTTTAGACTGAAAAAGTTTAGGGCACTCTGGCCTGGCCATTGAAGCCTGACTCTGGTCCTGCCAGAATTACCACTCGAGGGCCGCCATCCTTGGAACCTTCCCCGTCTCCCTCTTCTGCTTGTGCTGCCAAGCCCTTCCAAGTGGCATGCTCTCTGGGACACTCTTCCCCCTCTCAAGTGCTTCACTGACACACAGAAGAAGCATTTTTCTCTTCACAACTGTTTTTTCAAGTATTGGGTGTTGGGTCCAAACACCATTCAGTTACCAACTGCTTTTTCCTGCCCCGCTCTACATTACGTTTTCTGCACTCTACATTGCATGTTGTCTGGCAGCTGTTGCTGCACTGTGTGCAAGCTAGTGTGTGGGAAGGATACTATACAAACAAGATTTCCTAGTTCTGTATATTTGTACCACAGTAGGAAGTATTTTGAGAGCCACCATAGTTTAAGTTTATTGATTTCACTAGTGGTTTCTGCATTCTAACTAGTTCTAGAAGACTATTAGTAACTGGTTTTAAATATATATATATATATATATATATATATATATATATATATTACACATATTTATACACACCACTGTGGGATTCATTTTACTATGTAAGTAGTGATATTTTTCTTGTTCAAATGCTTCTATACAAAGTATTTATTTTAACAACAACAACATGAACTGTCAAAAAGGGCTTTCCAAACATCGTTCTTGCCATCCGTCCTCCTCAAATGTGCTCAGCCACTGACCCCTTAACAGCACAGGCAGACGGGTCTGGCCCTGAGGTCCTCACTGTTTAGGGACAGATACAACATGACTTTGAAATCTGAGCACTTCTCCCTGCTTCCCCTCCATCCCAGAACAAAGTAGGACTCCTGCAGTGGGTATGACCATGCCAGGAATGGCACTAGGGTTTTTCTCAAGGAGCCCACTTTTTGCGTATACCCTTGACATGTTCAACTGCTCACTCACATAGTTTGAGTAGGGAAGTGAGCCTTAGTTGTAACCAAGGAAATTGAAACCTGTACCTGTGGGATAAGGAGAAACCACTGGTTGCCTCAAGCCAGCACTGAAGTGTGTGCTTCTGTTCTCCTGGGCTTGTGAGAGTCCCTCTTCACACCCTCACCGTGGAAGCTAAGCATGCCACCTTCTGCACCTTGATAATACTTTACCTTCGCTCTCATCTTCCTCCTCCCTCTGTCTCAGCAAGCATTTGTGCAGGTGTGGGCGAGTCCCAGCTGTAACTGATGGTTACAGCATGAAACCATCTGTTCTAAGATGTGTTCAGCTTTACTTCTCAGGAGTCTTCATCTGCTATTCACAGCACCCTACATGTCGTGGAACCAATTTTTTGATAATGTCCCTTTCCCTGTGCTCTGTTCCTGGGCACCCCTACCTGCATCATGATTCTCATTCTGCCCATCCGGCTGGACTGAGAACTACACGTCTAGGATACTGGGAGCTTTGAAACTAGCTCCACAGGGATCGTTATCGTGTTTGAACCATAGTTTATTTTTCCTATGGCTCCCCTTTGTCTTTTCTAAACAAAGGAGGGGGATGCTTGAACAGTGATGCTGGAGAATGTTTTTCTAAGATACTATTTGTAAGCAAATCTGATTTTAAGGTAAAATGTGAATGGGTAACTAGGTGCCAGGGAAATTTAGCACTGAACTAGACAGAACTTTTCTAATCTTTGCAGAAAGAAATAGACTTTGCTCTCATCTAAATGTTCACAGAAAGTAATGCTGTAAATAGTTTTCTAAAAATATTTATTACATGTACTGTATATGGATTCATGTTCTGAGTGATGTTGGTATGCATTGTAGTACTGTAGAAGAATATATTTAAAGCAGTAAACTTCCTTTCATAACGTAGTCACACATGGAGAAAGAACAAAAGCCAGCAGGTTGAGAGCTGTGGGGGCCTTTGATGTGTAATGGAACATCATAGTCAAGCTATAGCTTTAAATGACCCCTCTTCGCATCTGGATACTGGAGATTTCCAGTTGTTCTTTCTGATGTGCTGCCCTTAAGCAATAAGATTCTAGATGATGACTTGTTCGGGGTCCTAGTTGCCCTTGTCTCAGAGGATCAGGTGGGGGTAAAACAGCTCTTGTGATGCCCTCTTGCCTTTGCCAGAGAGGTTGCTGTACTTGAATTTTGCCTCTGCTTATCTGCATGCGCCCTCATGTCACAAAACTCCAGTAATAGATGAGAAATCTGCCCACACCAGACATGTCAAAAGTGCTTGTGTAAAAGTAATTATTCATGAACTTATAGTCTAGAATCTAGTGAAGGAAATCTAATTTGGCTACAGAGTAAATTAAGAACTTTTCACATGTGAAATGAAGTGACAAATTTAAAGACCTTTGGCTATGTCTGAACCATCTTTAGAAGCTAGCTCATTTTGTACCAGCTTCCAGTCCCTAGGCTGGACACATTTGCTGCCCTGTATCTGGCTGGGTTCAGCCCTTTAGTTCAATGTAAAGAGGCAGTCTCTCCTCCATTTCCTCCAGCATGTCCAGCTCAACAGGTTCCTAAAGCTGTTTAGCAGCTTGTCCTTGTGACCATCCTAAATTTTGTGAAAAAGAAATACCCCACATCAAGATAACCATAAATAGAAGTAATGTAGTTTTTATAAGCTTTTGGAATGTCTTTTGTATTTATGATGGTGTTTAGAATTTTTCACTAGTGTTTTTTTAGATTGAAGTGGTGCATTAGGATAAAACTTTCCATTGCTGAGCCAGAAAGCAAGCAAAGAGGAAAGAAATTGGCCTATATTGTGTGGTTGGGGAGGCGACTACTTGTGGGGTGGGGTGGGGGGCATTGTAGATTTTGTGGAGGTAAAATAGTATTTTGGCCTGAGGCTCCCCAAGTCTTTAATACTTTGTAATAAAAATCCCCTTAGCCTCAGTCTCAGTAGAAGCCTGCTGTTTACCCTCAGGGAACAAGTAGTTTTCAAAATTGAGCTCCTCCAAGGTCTTTAGCCAATGCCTGTGTGTATTGGCAATTTTGTGAACTCATGGCATTATTTTCCCATATGCATTATGATATTATAAAATTCAACCCCAACCTGTATTAAAAGCACAGCCCAGGGTCCTAACTGAAGTTAGTCAATGCCTTTAAAGGGCCAGGAGGTCATTGGAGGCCCATGCAATTTAACTGAAGCTCAGGTGCCATGTTGGATTTTTATTGTTTTTTTAGGCTACAACCCTTCAGAATGAGTTTAAGGGAGGGGCTGCTGATCTGGCTGTAGATTCAGGGAGCTCTAAAATGAATCTCTACCGTTCCTTTAAAGATCTTTCTGGTTCTTCCCAGTGTCGTCATTGCCGAGGTCAATCTGTAGTTGTTAATACGTGCTCCTTTTTGCTGTCTCGTGAGTCTTAGCCAGTGTTCCAGATGCCCAAGGACAGGGCCTCCAGCGAGCACAGCCCTTTCCTGGTGCCAGGTGTGTGTTCATGGTCTGTGTGAAGGGTGTGTTTCTAGGAAAAAAGCAGTGAAATGAGAAATTCTGCAAATGTTAACTTGGAGGATCAGTGTGCATTTCTTAGGTCTGGATTTCCACTATGTTAGTGAGTCTAGGAAGATACTCTGTCTTTAATGGATGAAAATTCAATGTATGCTGTGAATTTGTTGGTTTGAAACAATGAAAAATTTTCATTAGACAATGTTTACATACCTCACCTGAAAAACCTTTGAGAGTGTATATATGAAATTTAAAAATATATTAAGTTGCTTTAAAACAATATGTATAGCTATAAAAGTTGGAGTTATTTTAACTTTGAATATGTACCAGGTTTCTTAAATCTTGAAATCTTGTAGACTCTGTGCGTCTGTGTTTTACTTTCCTGTTAGACCATGTAGGAAACTGTGTTCTTGTGATTGGTAAAGGGGCCCCCACTAAAATCCAAGTTTGGAAGGATTTTCTGTGTTGTTTCAGATTTTCTTGTTTGGTTTTGAGGGTTGGGATGTGCAGATAGAGGATGCGTGGGAGGGATTTCTCTAACTGACATCTATTCCATGAGCTTTTTCAAGGCGCTTATTTTATTGCAGCATATTAAATTTCTTTGATATTAAAGTGTGTTTGTGTAATCACTGGAAAGGCTAGAGAATGCACTGAAGCTAGTCATTCAGCTTGTAGCCTACTGCTCAGTCGGCAAGTAACCAAAAGTAACCCAAAAGCTTTATACCAAAGCAGTACTCCATCTCAACATTGGTGTTGGTGTTTAAAGAAATCAGTCTGTGAATTGTGCCTAATTTTAAGGAAGAAAAAAGTGCAGTCAATGAATCCTTGGGATTACCACAGCAGGGTTGGAAAGATGTCAGTGTTTCATCCTGAGGACAGGGAGTAACAGAGTTTAAGCTTCTCACAACAGGCAAACCAGGCTAGGGCTGCCCAGGTATCTACAGTCCTTATGGAGTATGGCAGAAGGATAACAGAAAGTCCTTCCATTTGCTAGCCGTGTCACTTGTTGTATTTTAATTCTGCTTGGGATGAGTCTACTTAAGGACCCACAGGGCCAGTGAGACTTACTCAACAGATTTGGCTAATAGTGGCAATCCATACACAGAACTAAATCCAGAGATGATAATCCAGCAGCTGTCAGGACATTCCTGAGTTTACTTTTACTTACAGGTTGCAAAACTGCAGATCTACAGAGGTATTTTAGCCCAATTATGTACATATAAGATACTGTAAGTTTTTTAGCATAAAGATGAGATAGAAGGGGCTGGGGAGATTGCTCAGTGGAATAAGCACTTCCCTGGCAAGCGCAAGGGCCTGAGTTCAATCCCTGTTCCAAAAAAAAAAAAAAAAAAAAAAGATGAGATAGATTTTTGGCTTCTCTTTTGGAAAAAAAATGATAATGATCTGACAAAATTAGTTCCTGCTATGAGTCACCTGGTGCTCAGTAGATTGGTAAATGCTCTTTAGGTCACCACCATCTGTAGCTATGTCAGTTACCATTTATCACTTTACAGTAAGGAAATTTATACTTGTTTTATCAGAAGTAGCAAAGAAAGAATGAAGGAAGATACTGTCTCTGACTTACTGAGGTAACCACCTGGCCATCCCAGCCACCTGAGCCCGCAGTTCTGCTAGATCTTATTTTCTCTCTCATAACCATGTTTGTTCCATTTTCTCTAAAAAGCTGTCATTGCCCTAATTGTTTTGAAGCCACTGGATTTACCATCACTGGACATTTTCGAGCTAACCGTGTGCTGTTACGTCCTTGGTGACCATTGCAGCCCATATTCCTGGCATCGGAGGAGGACCAGCCTGGTCCTTCTACCATCAAGCACCTGGATATCCTGTCTGCCAGTGTTCAGCGTCACCCACATTCTAAGATCTGGTATCCCATAAAACCCAAGTGCGATTTTCTGATCTAAGAAGGTGACAAAACCCCTACAGAAGTGTGTTTGCCTCCTTTCTTTACTGATTCCTAAAATCCACTGGCCTACCAACAGACATAAGTAACCTTACAGGATGTCTGAGAAAGTACACTGCTTTCTAATCTGCTGCCCAGATACTGTGGATCCCTCAGAGCCAGGTTAAGTTATGTGTGTGGCTTATAGACAAACATACAAAATGTCAGTGTAACAGCAAACACTTAGCAGAGATGAAGATAAGCTGCCTCCCTAAACCAAGCGTGCTTGTCCTTTGCATCAACAGACCCGTGAGAAGCAGTGACTCCCAGACCCCTTCCTTCCTCAGGACTGATAAACCTCCTTTGGGACTTTAGGAAGAGCCGAATTCCAGGGCAGACACCCTGTGTGTGAGGATTGTAGCCATTATGGGGTCAGCCCAGAAGTCCTTGTGTCCTGGACGTGAATCTTAGCAGCAGCAGGCTCACCTCAGCAGAGAAAGAGACAACCAGGCAGAATCCAGCTGAATCAATGTCATGTTCACATGGAAGACAATAGACAATATCAACATAGACTAAAACAATACTTCCAGGGGAAGAGTAGGTGCAGCTCCTTGTGGGCTGTTCTAAGCCAGTCTCTTAAGTCAGTCCAAACAAGACTACGGAAACGCGAAACAAAAGGTCACAACGGCATAGCATCTGAAAATCAAAAGACACTGAATATTGACTTTAACATATAAAAATACTATAACAAAATGAAATACAAATATATATTAGAATCTGTAAGTATTCTGTATAAAGAGATACTTTTGTGGTTAGGCTGACATCAGGCAGAGGAGACAAAGGCGGCCTTTCCCACTTCCTAACAACAGGGAGCTCAGTGCACTGTTACCAGCACCATCTCCCTCAGTACTCGCCCTCCTGGGTCTCTTCAGTGCACCATTAATGGAAACAGCCAGTGGTGACCACAAAACAAACTGAAGATCTTTATCAAAGGGTGGCAAGATGAGTAGGTGATTTCTTGGGTGGGAGATTTCATAGTTGTCTTCTAAAACTTGAGCCAAATATGAACAGGCAGTAGGAGTGATGACCCAGGCCTATGGTGACTTAAAGATTGATGGCTAAGGTAGAACAAAAGTTGATTCTAGGGTGTATGACGTCTTGGGCCCCATGCTGCCTTCATGCTTGTGCATTCCAGTCTTGACACAGTGGAAAAACCAGTGTGGAGGGTCAGTCAGTTGGAGCAGCTGTAGATCACAAGGTGCTTCCTGTGAACCAGCACGCCAGTCTGTCCCACTGCACAGTCCTGGGGTGGGGGGGGTAGCATCACCTGTCTGCAGGTGCCCTTCCACTTTGGCAGTGTTGAGACCTCCTTCCAGTGGTAGCTCTTGAGCCAAGGAACTGACTTCTTCAGGCACTGGAAAATAGCAGCCTGGGAAGCTAATTCCTCTGGGCAGGTGAGTCTGGAACACTTTGCTTCCAGGAAGGGGCAAAACAACTGCCCAGTGCTTTTTTTGCCCTCTACAGCCTGGTGCTACTACCTACTAGTGTCCTAGAAACTTGGAGTAAAGAGACATAGATCCCTTGGAGCATCCTCAAGAAAGCCTGGGTGCTGTCCTTGGGGCATGGGGACAGGTCTTATGGCCTTGCTTAGAACTACAAGAAAAGAGGTTGATTTCCTGGGGAGGGACTAATCTAGCCATGAGGACCTTTTGCCCAGCTGGTCAGGGAAGGGTCTTATGCCGTAGTTCCATGACTTTGCAGGAGCTTCATGTCCTCTGCTCATCACAAAGGGCTTCTCTGGATGCCCATACGGGTAAGCACACAGACAGGGCTACTCCAACTCCAATACTCAAATCCCCAGATGGAAGGATCTAGGTAAGGGACATGCTCATCTGTGCCCACCGAGACTTGCAGGGCTATACCCTCTCAGGGAAACATCTGGGGAAGCAGAGTGTGACCTTTCTTCCCTATAGCAACTCACTGTTAGGCTCAAAACCAAATGTAGAAGAGATAGTCCTATCAGATGATCATGTAGCCAGTGGCTCTTTAAACAGAGCCTTCATTGCAAACACTAAGCTGTACAGTGGGCCAGTATCCATGGTGGGGTCCCCACTGGGCTGAATTCTTATCACCCCAGTTGGCCTTGTAGTGCTTATAGACTAGTTCGCATCTGCCATTAGGGCCAAATACTGACTAGTGCTTATCCCCGGGGTGGCCATGTAAAGGCCGATGTAACCTATGAAAATGGACCTTCTAACTCTTGGGCCTGTCTTCTGAAGCCAAAGTGGCAGAATACATGTGGTTCCTTTCGTCAGCCCACCTCCATTTTATGGCTAAGGAAGTCCACTGAGAGCAGGACGTTCACCTGGAGTAAGAATTGCTAGGGGCTCCCCCACTGCTTCCTCTTGGCCTAAACACAAGAGGCTCAGAGCCTCAATAGAGGAGACCACACCATCCCTCTGCCAGCAGCTCGTGGGCAGCTTGTGGCTAGCTGGTGGCTGGGGAATCCCAGGCCCAGCACCTCCTTCTGGGCCAGTGTTTGTTCAGCTAGCACCAACAACCCTCTGCTCTCTTCAGTGGGGCCTGCCACCCCAAATAGTCCTAGTGGCAGTTTCTTCCACAAGAGCCCTCTTCTGGAAGCTCTAGTGGTTACCCTACACTTTAGGATTCTGAAGCCTGCTCTTAGGAGCCATCACACTCCCAGCCTCCTTCTCAGGCCAAGAGTAGGACCAGTCCACCAAAAAGTCTTTTCCTTTTCCAGTAGGGGGCTGCTCCCAGCTCACTGGGAAAGAAGAGGGGACTTGGGGGCCAGGAGCCTTCTTCAGAGCAGGCTGGGCCACAGGATAAGAGGAAGGTTGCTTTGGAAAGGGTTCAGCCCCTTTCTCCAGCCTCAGACAGCAGAGAATGCCCCCATTCTGCCTTTCTATGGCCTGACCTCACACACACATTCATTCAACAAATATTTATTGAGCGCCTATTTGTGCAAGGCACTTCCAGAGAGGGTGGCCATAGCTCCAACGTGCCTTGTGCTGGGCTGCAGTGCTATTAGGCCCCATGCCCACCAGGGCCCAGGCAATGTCCCGGTGAGGCCCACGCTGCAACCAGCTGCCAACTCTGCTGCCCTGCCCGTGGTGCTGCCTGCTCCATGCCACCTAAACGCAGAGGGTGCAACCACATTTGGTGGGCTTCTCCACCTCCTCGGCAAAAGAGGTCCCGTCGCTGCACTCGAAGGTGAGCTTCCTCCGCTTCAGCCGCAGGCCCTGGCAGCAGCCTTGGCCTGGGCAGGTGCCCCGGCACTCCACCCATGATAGCAGGCGCGTGGTTTGGCAGATGGCATAGCCCCTCTGGACCCGGTGAAAATCCCGGACAGGGTCCCCCCGGCACTCGAACTCTAGATGGGACAGACATCAAGAGAAAGCCTCAGGGCACACCTAGGGGCCAGCTTCTGCCACAGGAGGCAGGAGGAGGCGAGGCAGCACCCTACAAGCAGTCCAAATCCTCATGTACCCACTTGGCACGCAGTGTCCTCCCACCTCTTGTGCATGCACCTGTGAATTGCTGCCTACTGAGGTCCCCAGTGTAGTCAGTGGTAAGGACAAACATGGCAGTTACCAGGCCCCTCTGAGACAGAGTGGCTGTCAGAGTAGGGTGACTCCCTTTAGGCTACAGTGGTACGCAGGAAGAGCTGAGGAGGCAAAGGCCCTTAGTGTGCATGAGGTCTGGATTTCCCTGCCTTGTCCTGCCTCAGCAGTCTGGATTCTACACAAATATCTTGGTCAAGCAGGCAAGAAAGCAGTCCACTGCCAGGTCCCAAGCTGACGGGCCAAGATGTGGAGGGCTGGCCAGGTGGTGTTTGGGTGGTCTCTGTATAAGGAGAGACCTTTACCAGAATGGATTGTGTCCTAAGGAGCTGGCTGGGGCTCAGTTCTCAGAGGGGGTGGGACACCAGAAGCCCAGGAGCAACTGAAGATACAGGAGGATGGGGAAAAACGGAGAAGTGACAGGGTTCTGCTGAAGTTGGGAGGAAGAAAACATAAGTTGCTACAGCAAGATGTGGGAAAGAGGGACCCCAAACAGGCCATGTCAGGAGGGGGGCCCCTGACCTTGCTCACACAGCTCGCCTGAAAAGCCGGGGTCACATACGCAGTGCACCCCCTTGGCGGTCGAAGCCTGGCAGTGGCCATGCAGGCATTGCAGGCCCCCACAGGGCTCCACCACTGCCCCTGCCTGGCTGCACAGGGCCCCTGAGTACCCCTCCTGGCACTGGCAGCTGTAGGAAAGGGCATCAAGGGGCACACATTTCCCATGGGCACACCTGGAGAGAACAGAGAAAAAGCACCGTGAGGACAAGCAAGGTTCAGCGCAAAGGTGTCCCACTCCTCCCATGATTTTATAGGACTACATTCTGCCCCCAAGATTTAAGTGGAGAAAAATGTGATTCTCTTTGTCCTTTTTCTAGTTATTAAACACTGAAAACCAGAAAAGGAACATAAACAATGGAATCCTGTGATCGGCCACACATTCCAATTGAGGATTTAACATGAGCTCTCACCACTAGGAAGGACAATACGTAGGGGAGGGCAGCGGGCCATGGAAGAGGGCTCCTTCACCCATCCCAGACTCACTTATGGCCACGGCAGGGGCCGTCCACTGGCTGGTCACAGTGAAGGCCACTCCAGCCAGCCTCACAGTGGCACACGGGGCCTGGGGTAGCACTGGGTTGGCAGATGCCATGCAGGCAGTACAGTTTGCGACAGGGTTCACAGCCTGGCACCACGCCTGGCTTCATCTGTGTCTTGGTGAAGTCCTGCAGCTCATTATTTATGTACAGGTTTCGGATGCAACCATGGAAGCTGGTACCATTAAGGACCTGCCACAGGCGGAAGGCAGCCGAGTTCACATCCACTGGCATCCCTGTGATGGACAGGAAGCGAAGTGAGCTGAGTCAGGCTCGAGCCGTCCCTGGCGCCCACCTCTGAGATCCACTGGCAGCTCTGCAGGTGTTCCCCTTTCCCCTCAGCCTCCTTCTCTGTGGCGAGGCTCTGCGTCACAAGCCTCTGCCATACTGGAGGGCCAGACTCCTTTCCCAGAACACATGGGAAGGCTACTTCCTGTAGGGTC